CAGTGGAAGGCAGGGGGCCGGGCAGCGGGGACGGGGCTGCGCCCGCCAACTCCGCAGGCAGGTGCGGGCGGGGCCGCGGGGCTAGGTGCCCTCCACCACTGCCCCCGCAGCGCCTCGCCCCGCGACCCTGGACACGGAGCAGGGTCCCGTCAAGGGCCACCTGGGTGGTCTCCAGGAGGGGCAAGAGGGGGAGGCGTGAAGTTGGTTTTTCCCACTAAACCCTGGGTTTCAGCCGGGCACAGTGGCCCACGTGTCTGCCACCCAGGGACTCGGGAGGCTGAGGCAGGAGGATGGCAAGCTGGAGGCCAGCCTGGGCAACTTCGCGAGGCCTTGGCTCAGAAGGAAAAGGGCTGGGCTGCGGCTCCGTGCAGAGCGCTGGCCTTCCCAGCCCCGGCTCCGGCCCAGCCCCAAAAAGAAGAAAGGAAAAAAAATGAGGCCCACGTCCCCAGAGCCACCCAGGAAGGTGGGCGCAGAGGCTGGAGCAGGCGCAGTGAGTCCCCTGCCGGGCGGCACAGGAAGGAGTGGCACGCCGGGCGGTGGCTTCCAGGGCGGAGAGTCCTCTGGGTGCTGAGTGACAGGCAGGGCGGCCCACGGGGCTGGACTGGCCCTGAGCGGCCACCGGACCCAGGTTGAGGTGCTGGAGGGAGGAGCTCGCACACCCCGGGTCCCCGGTCACTGTCCAGGGACGCTCCATGGGGCTGGGGGGCGGGTGCCCCTGTGGCTCTGGGGAAGATGTGGGAGACGGGGGAGGGGACGTCCTACTAATGCCACCACCTGTCCACAGCCACCGGGCCGTGGGTTGTCCCTGACAGCCAGGGCCATGGACGGCGGTCACCCCGCCAGATGCACAGGCGCAGAGACCACACAGGCACATAGGACACGCACACGCAGGACCCAGGGCCTTGGCCTGGGCACTCGGGAGACCCTGGGTCCCAGCGGGAGCCTCTCCAGCCTCCACTGTGTCCCAGGGCCTCCTCCAAGGGGTGGCCGGCCAGGAGGGGACAGGCAGGCCCGTAGCACAGCATGGCTCTCGGGCGCCACCCAGTGGGCAGGCGGGGCTCTGGGGTCTTCCGGTCTCGCCTGTCCCTCCAGTGTGTCTTCTGTCCCCACCTCTGCCTGCTGCCCCTCTCCCCCCAGGCCCCCGCCCAGAGCGCGTGTCCCACTGCACTTGGACTCGGTGGCTGCACACCCCACGCACACTGGCCTCCCCTGGGCCCTGTCCCCTGTTGCATCCCGTGTGGGACGCCATCTTGCTGACCGCTGGGGCTGCTGGCAGGACGGTCAGCCTCCTGGGCTTCGCTGCCCGCCAGCTCGCCCGCTTGGCCCGGCCCCGAGCCGGCTCACCCCGCCATGGGCCCCCGTGGCCTGGGGAGGGCGGAGCGCAGAACCCGGGGTCCTCGACCCCCGGGAGGCCGGCCTCCCCTCCAGACCCCGGACTTGCTGTGGCTCCCGAGTGGCCTTCAGGCTGGTGGCCCTCCCCTGAGGGGGGGTCAGCTCCCCTTGGCCCTCGAGTCCCCTGTGCTCCGTGTGTGTCCCCCAGGTGTGGCACCCTTCCTTCTTGGCGCCTGGCCACCCTGGGGAGCAGGACTCAGGTGTGTGGGCCATGGCCACCTGCCTGGCACCGACCGAGCCAGGGCTCTGGAGCCTGGATCTGGGACCGCGGAGCAGCTCCCCAGTCATGGGGCCTCGGGGACATTTTCTGAACCACTTGTGGCCCCCGCCCGCCCCGCTGGGTCTCCTCTGTGAGCCTCGGGCCTGGCCGCAGCTCTGCCCACGCGAGGCCTGTGTCTCTGTGGCTGGGCACACGGGGCGCCCCGCAGCGCCACAGTCCGCTGTGACCCCAGGACCGCGAGGCTCCCGACGCCATCCTCGGCTCCCTGCCTCGAGTGGCCAGACCGCGGCCTCCGCCTAAAATTTGCGCATGCGCCACGTGGGGGACGGTCCAGCGGGGACGAGTGGGAGCCTGACCCCTGGGGAGGGGTCTCTGGCAGGTGGCAGAGCGCTGGCCGAGCGCGTGCCAGGCCCTGGGCTCAGGAAGCAGCCAGGGGGACAGGGAGGCTGACGCAGGTGCTGTGGGCACGCGGGGGGCGTGGGGCCTGGGTCCCTTGGGGTGCTCTGTTGCGGGGTGCAGGGGTCGGCCGGCGCTGCTGCCCACGCTGCTTCAGGACGAAGCTCGGGCAGCGGGGCCGAGGTCGCCGGGTGCCAGGCAGAGCCGGGATCCCCGGGGCCTGCACCCCGGCTGGGGGCCCGTCCTCACCGAGGCCCAGGGTGCTCTCTGGGGACCCTGGAGGACCCCGTGCCCCTCCCGGCCTAGCTGTCCCTGGAGCCGCGCATCTGAGGTGTTTTCTTGTGAGCCGAGAGGCCCTCTAGTGGCGCGGCCTTGACGTTATCTGGGAACCGCGACAAGCAGCCTAACAGGGCGCTCACCCTGCGCTCCGGGGCTCCCAGGTGGTGACTTCCGTGAGCACAGAATTCAGTGAGTGGCGAAGGTGACGCGGCCCTGTAGCCGCGCAGCCGTCGGTGAGGGGCCATCTGGTCCTGCCACCCCCAAGCCAAACTCCAGAGCACCTGAGCCCTGTTCCTGTCGGGCTCCCCGGACTGTCAGCATTTATGGAGCACTTACTGTATGCCAGGCACGATTCTGAGCCTCTTCTGTGGCTACACCACTGCTCATAGATGGCGGATGGCGCGCGATCCTTCTCCAGGTGAAGCCGCCGAGGCACAGCTGGTGGCCAGCCGTGTGGGCGGACAGCAAGGTGGCATCGCGAGCACTCTGGCTCCCGCCCGGGCCTTCGCAGGCGCCCCCCACCCCCACTCACTCCTGGGAGGCCGCCAATGCTTCCCTCCTTTAAAAAGAAGGATCAGGGGCTGG